CCGCTGCCCCCGCCCCTCCGCTGCTCCCTCCCCAGTCCCAGCCTCCACCGCCTCTCGTCTGAGTTCCTGCCCAGCCTGCCAACTGGTCTCCGGCTCTGCCTTTGACCTCCTACTGTCTGTTCTCCAGCCGGCAGCCAGAGTGAGCCAGTTAAAACGTCAGGAGGGTCATCAGTCCTCTACTGAAAACCCTTCACTGGCTCCCTATTTCACTCAGTCTAGGGCCAAAACCCTTGGCCTTGAACGCCTCCCCGGTATGGCTTCAACCTCACAGGCCTCGCCCCCCGCCCCCCCCACCTCGCTGGGCTCCAGCCACAGGGCCTCCCCGCTGCTCCTCAGACGCGCCCGGCACGCCCACCCGAGGGCCTCCTCTCTGGCCGCTCCCTCGGCTGCCACTGGCTCTCTCACCCCCTTCCCGCCTTGGCTCGCACATCGCCCTCTCAGTAAGGCCTCCCTGACCACCCTTTAAACTGGCCCCCACGGCTCTCCCCTGCTTGATTTTTCTCCTTAACACTCACGACCTTCGAAATACCCTCTGGAACTTACGGCTTTATTTTGTCTAAGTCTCCTCCAGCTGGGCTGGGGATTTTCATGTTTTGTTCACGGATACTCAAAATCTTGGACAGCAGAACACGGGCACTGCCCAGTCCGAGCAGAATCCGCAGAGGACAAGTGGCGGATGCACCCAGGGCAGGCCGTGAGGCAGGGTGAGCAGCGGGTGCGGGCCGTACCTGCTTGACGGCGAGGTTGACCAGGTCGTAGCGGTGGGAGCGGCGCAGCGGCAGGCAGAAGCTGTAGACGGCGTGCAGGGCGGCGCAGAAGAAGCTGAGCAGGCCGATCTGCTTGCGGTGCTGCAGCCAGTGGTCCAGCCAGTCGGGGAAGCGGCGGTACTTGGTGCCGCGCCGCAGCTGCAGGGCGGCCGCCAGCACGCCGGGCAGGTAGACCAGTGACAGCAGCACGTAGGCCACGCACGGCAGCGTCGTGTTGACCACGGAGACGGGGAGCTTGTAGAACTTGTTCTTGCCCTCCTGCAGGTAGGGGTGCAGCACGTCCCGGATGAAGTTGTAGGCATAGAAGAAGACGAGGAGCCCCAGGGCCAGGAGGGCGGGCACCTTCCAGCCCGGGAGGAGGCGCAGGGGCATGGCCTCCACCTCCCGGGCTGAGACCAGGGACCCCATGTCCACAGGTGTGAAGCCCATGGCATGCACCATCTCCGAGACAGTGCGCTTAGCTTCCGGCTGGTCACTGCAGATGGGCACCTGTGGGGACAGAGGGCAGGGGGTAGGAGGAATCAGATGGGGTCACAGGCCACAGGGGTGGGCAGGCCTCAGAGAGCATCTGGGCCAAACTCCTCACTGAGCAGCTGAGGAAACTGAGGCCCAGCGAGCTGCCAGTTAACGTTACAGCTGGGAGCAGAAGGTGGCTCTGACTTCCAGGCCAGAGGTCTTCCCTCGGCCCCCTGTGGCTGCCAAACCTCTGGCCCAGCATGCCCAGCAATGCCCATTACTCAAGAAGAGCACACGGGGCTCACCTACCAGTGAGCGTTTCACCCACTCCATTACCATCACTCTTCACAAACAAAACACCCATCTAAGTAGCCCCCATGGGCCCTTGGAATAGCTGCTTCGAGGACTGTGGCCTGCCCTGGGGGTCGCTCAGCAACTGGGTTTTGCGTATGGCCAGAATGTGCAGCTGTGTCTACGGCTCCATCCCTCAGTCCAGAAGTGTCTCCTTCAACGATGTCCCTTGGCCCCTATGACCTTAGCCAACACACAAGGCCTTCTGCACGCCAGCCCCAGCCTCGTAGCCCACTGCTCCCCACATGAGCTCCCAGGCAGGCACCCTGGTGTCCTCAGATCCCCAAACACTCCACGGGACTTGCTGAGTCTACTGTGGTCAGTCCGGTCTACCGACACTGACTCAGCGCCTACTATGTGCTGGGCTTTACATCTTCCATCCCTCAGCCTCACCACAGCCTCCAGGTAGGCTTTCTCAGGTGAGGAAACAGGTCTGGGAGCATCATTTCTCCCCTCTCTGCCTTTGCAGGGTGTCCCCTCAGCCTGGAATGCCCTGGTGCTCTCTGTGCCTGACAACATGAGGTGGGGCCAGGCCAAGGCTAACCTCAAGTCTTCCCTAGCCAGCTGCTAGCTAGCTCTGTTCCCTCCAGGCCCCGCCACACAACACCTGTCCATTGTTGCCGGCCTGTCCACACACAGGAGTCTCATGATGCAGGCTGAACATAAGGCCCTGCAGACAGGGGTGGCCAGGCACCTGGGGGCTCTCCCACAGCCTGGCATGGAGCTGGGCAGAGGAGGCATCTGGGCTGGACTCATTGGTGGAAGTTCTCACACACATGAGGACCTGGCTCCTTCCTCCAGGAAAATGCTTGGCCTCTTGGCATTAAAAATCACCTTGGCAATAATGTACACCTGAAATTTACACAATGTTATATGCCAAAATGACTTCAATAAAATAATTTTTAAAAAATCACCTTGGTAAGACCTCCTCCTGCCAAGAACTGGATGCAGCCCTGGCTGCTCTCTGGAGCCATTTTCCACCCCCAGAAAAACCTGCTGTTGACTATTCTGAGAAATCCACTCAGTTCTCTGAAGCCCTTGGAATAAATGAGATAAAGTTTGGGACATGCATGCTTCCTCAGGGCCTAGTACATATGTGTTACTTTCTCCTTTCTGAGTCCAATTCCAAAAGCAAAGTCTCTTCCCTTCTTGACTCCAAATAGTAGAAAGAAAGCCATCACCCTTTTCCTCCTTGCCCCCTCTAATCAAGTTACCATAGAAGAAAGAATATGGATTTCAGATTCTTATGAACTGTGTTCAAATCCCAGCTTACCAGCTGTGGGACTTGGCATAAGTAAGTTCATTAACATCTCTGAGCCTCAGTTTCCTCCTCCATAAAATGGAACTTTGCGGTGATGTGAGATGAGCTGAGACAATGAACAGAAAAAGCGTGGCACCCCGAGGCCCTCCATGAAAGTTAGCCATTTATATTTATTTTTATCATGGTTGTTACTTCCCAGGCACCTACCTGCCTGTTCCCATCCCTGGGGCCAGCCTGCAGGGTCCAGGCGGAGATGACATTGAAGGCCTTGACCACCGAGCAGGTGGGGAAGAGAGAGGCCAGGTACTCAGCATTGGACTCACGGTGCTGAAGGTGTTCCTGCTCTGTGGGGTTGCTCACATCTACCAGGATCTTGCCGGCTAGCTGGTCGCTGAGACTACACAGTGAGGAGTAGTGCTCCCGGAACATGGCCACAAAGATGACCTCAGGAGAGCCCAGTGCCTCCTCCTGGAAAGTCACTTGTGCTGCTGAGGGAAATAGCCCAGCCGTGCGTTTGGGGTTGCGGCTCCCCACCACCACGCTGAAGCCGGAGCCCACCAGGCGTGTGGCCAGGGAGCGGGCAAAGTCCCCACTGCCCATGATGCCCACTTTGGGGGCCTCACTGGGTACCTCAGCCAGGCTGCCATCACTGTCCACCGGACGGTGGCTGATCAGCGGCTTGTCCATCTCTTCTGACATTTTGGTGTCTGGAAGAGAAAACAGGAACCCGGTCAGTGGAGGGCTCCCAGGCTGCCCCTCCTATCACCTTCTTCTCTTGTCCAGTGTAACTACATGGCCGTCAAACGTTCACCCCACAGGCCTTCATGAGTGCTAACGTGCCAGCACCTGGGGACAAGCTGAGCAAGACCCGGCCCTTCCCGGGGAGGGCACAGATGCAGGAAGAGGTGGGGGAAGGACCTCTGCCTCCACCCTTTGTCCTTCCTGCTGAGTTATTTCCTTGGGACAAATCTGCAAGAGTGACAGTGCTGGGAAAGATAGGTGTGGAATTTTCATGATCAATGCCATGCAGTGCCACACTTATTTCCCGAAGGCTTATGCGATGGACAGTGTTACTATCCAGTAATGACGGTTTAACTCCAAGCTCATCATCACTGGGTGTTATCTTTGATTACCAGGAAGGGTGGACATGTTCCTCTGCTTGTTTACGTTTTGCAATTTCACATTGTTTACATTTTGCGATTTCTGATGCTCTTCCTTACACAGATGTTGAGCAGCTTGAAGGCAGGGACCTCATCTTATTTGACTTTGGATCTTGCCATTTGTCACGGGGCCTAGCAAAGAGCTGGTACTCAGTGTTTGCTGAATGAATGAATGAACACTGAAACCCTACTCTCTGAGGGTAGGACTGGGGTGGGACATGACATTGAATGGGACCCTGAGATTGGGTGGGTACCTGGGATCTCCTTCATTGAGCCTGAGGTAGGAGTGGATGTGGAGGAAACTGTGGACTCGGGCCAGGAGGTTACGGTAAACCTGGATGGTAGAAATTATATTTTTAATTGTCACCAAGTTCTAATGGAAATGTGCTCTTTCCTTCATGTATGAAATGTGAGCAACAGACCACAGTTGTATTAGCAGTGCCTGTGAGTTTGTCACCAATACTGACCAATGTCACATCACAAGTTTACATTAAGAAACAAGATCTCAAACAACCTAACTTTACACCTCAAGGAACTAGAAAAAGAACAACAAACTAAGTATAAAGCTAACAGAAGAAAGGAAATAACAAAGCTCAGAGTGGAAATAAATGAAATAGAGGCTAGAAAAACAACAGAAAAAAAATCAACAAAACTAAGACTTGGTTTCTTGAAAAGATTAACAAAATTGACAAACCTTTAGTTAGGCTAAGAAAAAAAAAGAGAAAAGACTCAAAATAAAAAATGAAAGAGGAGAAATTACAACTGATATCACAGAAATACAAAAAATCATAAGACACTATCATGAACAATTATCTGCCAACATATTGGATAATGCAGAAGAAATGGATAAGTTCCTAAAAACATACAGCCTACCAAGACTGGATCATGAAGAAATAGAAAATCTGAACAGGCCAATAATAAGTAAGGAGATTGAATCAGTAATTAAAAAATCTCCCAACAAAGAAAAAGCCTACGATCAGATGGCTTCACTGGTGAATTCTACCAAACATTTAAAGAAGAATTAATGCCCATCCTTCTCCAACTCTTCCAAAAAATTGAAGAGGAGGGAATACTCCAAGCTCATTTTATGAGGTGAGCATTACCTTGATACCAAAGCCAAAAAAGGACACTACAAAAAAAGAAAATTACAGGGCAATACCCCTGATGAACATAGATCCCAAAATCCTCAACAAAATACTAGCAACTGAATTCAACATTCCCGTTAAAAGGATCATACACTATGATCAAGTGGGATTTATTCCAGGGATGCAAAGATGGTTCATTATATGGAAACCAATAAATGTGATACGCCACATTAACAAAATGAGGGATAAAAATCATATTACTATCTCAATAGATGCAGAAAAAGCATTTGACAAAATTGAACATCCTTTCATGATAAACTAGGTATAGAAGGAATGTACCTCAACATAATAAAGACCATATATGACAAGCCCACAGTTAACATCATACTCAATGGTGAAGAAAAAAGCTTTCCTCTAAGCTTTTCCTCTAAGATCAGGAATAAGACAAGGAGGCCCACTCTCACCACTTCTATTCAACATAATACTAGAAGTCCTAGCCAGAGCAATCAGTCAAGAAAAAGAAATAAAAGGCATCCAAATTGGAAAGGAAGAAGTAAAACTGTCTCTGTTTGCAGAAGACGTGATCTTATATATATAGAAAACCCTAAAGACTCCACCACAAACTGTTAAAACTAAGAAACTGGGCCAGCCCCAGTGGCCTAGTGGTTAAATTTGGCGCACTCTGCTTCGGGGTCTGGGTTTGGTTCCCAGGCGCAGACCTACACTGCTGGTCGGTGGCCATGCTGTGGTGGCAGCCCACATACAAAATAGAGGAAGATTTGCCACAGATGTTAGCTCAGGGCAAATTTTCCTCAAGCAAAAAAGGAAGATTGGAGACAGATGTTAGCTCAGGGAGAGTCTTCCTCAGTAAAAAAAACAAAAAAACCAAACAACAAAAAAAACTAAGAAACTAATTCAGTAGGGCTGCAGGATACAAAGTCAACATAAAAATCAGTTGTGTTTCTATATACTAACAATGAACTATCTGAAAAAATCAAAAAAACAATCCCATTTATAATACCATCAAAAAGAATAAAATACTTAGGAATAAATTTAACCAAGGAGGTGAAAGATCTGTACACTGAAAACTATGAAGATTTAATATTGTTAAAATATCCATACTACTCAAAGCGATCTACCATTTCAAAGCAATCTCTATCAAAATTCCAATGGCATTTTTCACAGATACAGAAAAAATAATCCTACGATTCATATGAAATCACAAAAGACCCCAAATAGCTAAAGCAATCTTGAGCGAGAAGAACAAAGCTGGAGGCATCACACTTTCTGATTTCAAAATATATTACAAAGCTATGTTAATCAAAACACTATGGTATTAGCATAGAAACAGACACATAGACTAATGGAACAGAATAGAGAGTCCAGAAATAAATCCATGCATATAAGGTCAACTAATCTTCAACAAAGGTGCCAAGAATACACAACGGGGAAAGGACAGTCTCTTCAATAAATGGTGTTGGGAAAATTGGATTTTCTCATACACAAAAATCAACTACAAATGGATTAAAGACTTAAAAGTAAAACCTGAAACTGTATAACTCCTAGAAGAAAACATAGTTGGTAAGCTTCTTGACATTGGACTTGGCAATGATTTTTTGGATGTGACGCCAAAAGCACAGGTAACAAAAGCAAAAATAAATAATTGAGATAACATTGAACTAAAAAGTTTCTGCACAGCAAAGGAAACAATCAACAAAATGAAAAGGCAACCTATGCAATGGGAGAAAATATTAATAAACCATATATCTGATAAGGGGTTAATATCTAAAATACATATGGAATTTATACAACTCCCTAGTAGAAAAAACAAATAATCCAATTAAAAAATGGGCAAAGGACCTGAATAGACATTTTTCCAAATAAGACATACAAATGGCCTACAGGCACATGAAAAGATGTTCAACATCACTAATCATTAGGGAAATGCAAATCAAAACCACCATGACATATCACCTCACACATGTTAGGATAACTATTATCAAAAAGTCAGAAGATTCTAAGTGTTGGTGAAGATGTGGAAAAAAGGGAACCCTCATACACTGTTGGTGGGACTGTAAATTGGTACAGCTATTATGGAAAACAGTAAGGAGGCTTCTCAAAATATTAAAAATAGAACTACCATATGATCCAGCAAGCCCTCTTCTGGGTATGTATCCAAAGGAAATAAAATCACTATCTTGAAGAGATATCTGCACCCCATGTTTATTTCAGCATTATTCACAGTAGACAAGATATGGAAACAACCTAAGTATCCGTTGACAGATGAATGGATAGAGAAACTGTGGTGTATATATATGTGTATACACACACACACACACAATGGAATATTATTTAACCTAAAAAAGAAGGAAATCCTGACATTTGTGTCAACATGGATGAACCTGGAGGACATTATGCTAAAGTGAAATAAGCCAAACACAGACAAATACTGCATGATCTCACTTATATGTAGAATCTAAAAAGTCAGACTTAGAAGCAGAGAGTAGAATGGTTGCCAGGGGGAGGTGGGGAAATAGGGAGATGTTGGTCAAAGGGTACAAGCTTGCACTTATAAGATGAATAAGTTTGGGAGAGCTAATGTACAGCATGGTGACTGTAGTTAATAATACTGTTTTATATACTTGAAATTTGCTAAGAGAGTAATCTCAAGTGTTCTCACCACACATGCAAAAATGGTAACTGTGAGGTGATGGATATGTTAATTAGCTTGATTGTGGTAATCATTTCACAACGTATATGTATATCAAAACATCACCTGTACACCTTAAATATATACAATTTCATTTGTCAATCATATTTCAATAAAGGTGGAGGAAAATTAAAAGATAAAATTATAGTAGATATTAGACTGCCACTTGATCTTGTTACTTAATGGACTAATAAAGAAGCATGCATATTACTATAGCACATCTTGGTTTTTTAAAAAAATATTTTAGAACTGTGTTTCACTATAATTGATTTCCTACATAACCCTATGTTGTTTCATTTTATGCATGAAGAGCATTATTCTGAGCCAGACTATGGGTCCACAGGGGTCCTGGGCATCGAAGGGTTAAGAACCCCCGCCCCACCAGTGGAGCAGCAGGGATGGCTTTTAATACCCTCTTCCCACTTTCCACAGGGGGACCAACTCAACACCAGGTGAGGGGGGGGAGGGTCCAGGGTCTAATGCAAGGGGGAGCAGCGGACCCAGGAGGCGGGGGCCTGGCTCTGCCATGGATCGGCTGTGTGTCCTTGGACAAGCCCCTGTGCCTCTCTGGGCCCCAGCTTCCACCTTTGTAAATGGGGGTCACAATCTCTGCTCTGAGATGACCAACAATGCAATCTTCAAAGGCTCTGAAAACTGTGACCATCTCTATTTATGAGATGCCTACTGTGTGCCAGATACTGCTCTCACGCCTTTCCACGGGTGATGGTCATTTAGTCCTCACAGAACCTCAT